TTATTTTAAGGTCATAATCACGCGTCTGTACCAGTCACCGGTGTATGGCTCGATTAAAAGAAATATATGTGATTGTGAGTTGTACCTCTGTATCTGGTAAATCATAATAAAAACACTTCAAAGACGGATTGGATATTTGTTTATCCCGGCAGAAGAGACGACGACTGTTTTTATGCAATAATTTTATAGAGAATAAAGTAACGAGGATTTACGTAATTATCAGAAATTCAGGTAGCCTTCTATTCTCTCTCTGACCAATTTCAGTCGAGGTTTTTAAAGTTTAAAAACAGCCCATTGGGGCCTGTTAGAGAAAGGGCGGCAAAGGTGTGATAAGCAGAAAACAGGACTAAGAAAAGGTTTCGGTGAGGGCCTTACAGTGGAGTCGTGTCAATAGGCTGTAACTGAATCAACAACCATATTTCTAAAATTTTTGAGCCTCACAATTCTATTTTCACACACGAGTGGCAAATCTGTTTTCCCATTATCAATTTTATGTTTTTTATTGGGATGAGAAGAAAAGCTTACAATAGCAAATGAGCTAAGACCAAGCGCGAGTCAGCAAAACAAATGAAAAGCCGGTGATAGTGCATAGAATGAAAGTCAGGGATACCCAATTTCATTTTGATATTACGATTAAAGCAAAAAAGCCTTGGAATAAACGAAATGCACTCAAAAAATGTATGTTTACTGTTCTAAGGGAATAAAAACCTGACTGGAAACAGTTGAATTATTCAATTAGTATAGTATTAATACTTCATCTGTTTGCTGTTCAGGATGATGGGCGAGTTACAATAAATCCTTTCATCTGTTTAAAATATTATTTTCCACCCAAACAGAACTTACACTGCAGAATTTCGTATCAAGAAATGGGCCATTGTTGTGGGTTAAATTCGACTTCACAAGTTCAAACAAAAGCCTTTTGTTGTTTGTTGCGCTGAGAAAATTGTGCCGAGACTCGGCGAAGATGAATTTCAAATCGTCGCAAAATTGTTGGCGTGATAAATTAGCGGCACTAAGGGAGAGGGGCTGGGAAAGTCGCTCATGAGGGTGATGTTCACACAGGGGTACCCAAGGGAGAAAATGCCCTTCACTATGCTTGGTCTCTCAGTATATTTTTTTTTTATCAGCGAACCAGTTGATTATAAATTTAGTAACACGATAAGGATACTTTGTTGTTAAAAACATTTCACGAACTACACTCGGCAAGAGGACGAGAGGAAAAAAAGCAAACTAAACAAAACTGAATCTTTTTTGAACAGCTTTTAAAGGTTTTCAATGTGAACATAAGCGTAAATATTCCGTAGTGTAACATGTCTTGAGCGTTTTTCACTCTTCGAATTACATACCGAATAGCCATTTAAGAAGTATGTAATAAGCCTTATTCACTAGTGTTATTAACCCCAAACAAGATAACTGTAAATGCTAAGTTCTTCATACTGTACTTTGGATCAGTTGATAATAGCGCGCAGCACAACGCCGCAAAACGATGAAGCTTTTATCGATGTTTTACTTGGTCAAGAGTTGTGAATTTTAAAACTAACTTGCCTAACTCGTAGAAAAGAAAGAAAGTAAAACGGTTCGTCTATGAAAACTCGCACTTTGGACTGGAAAAATCGCCCAATTAAGCCGTTGGATGGAAAAAAAGGATCAATGTGGTCGTTGTAATTTAGTCTTAAAACAATGAAAGCATTGGCTAATAGCGCGGCTCTTATCAAAGAAGCGCTAGTCTTAATACTATCACGCTTTCACTCTCGTAGCGTAAAGAAAAAAGAAGAAAATTTTGTGTTTGGGAAAATACCACTTAGGAATTAAAAAACGCTCAACTTAAGTGATTGGATTGAAAAAATGATATTTAAAAGTTAATGTTCTGATTTAGTCTTGCAGTGAGAACACTGGCGGCGCGCGCGGCTTTTAACAAAGAGGT